GTTCACCTTATGCATTTTTGTTCTCGTATTGGCATCCTTGGTGATATTTAGCGCCCTCTGATTATTTTGAGCATTTGATGGTGCTACATAGCCTTCCCGGTTTGGTGCCTTCTTTTGATAATTACTTACTAAGCTGATATGCTAATGTCAGACTTTGGCATCAGTGTGGTTGGAAGCATGTATGTCTGCCATCGACTGGGTTAGGCACCCAGAAAGGTAAGCGTCCCAAAACAAACCCCTATTCTGGTGAAAATTGCAACCAAAAGCCAAATGAGTGGACAGAACTCCCCAAACAAAACTAGCAAACTAGTATGACATCACCCGTTGCCGCGTCGCCGTCTGCGCAACTTCCCCCCTCCCAGGGAGGGTGGGGATGGGGGAGCCCCAGACCTCCCACGCCGGCGATCCACACCCTGGTTCTGAGGCTGGATGTCAAAACACGAAAAACCGCCAACCGGAGGGAGGGAGGGATGCCGGGAAGCCTCCGGGAGCTCACTACCCACAGAGGAAAGAAGAGGGACTTACCCGGGAAGCGGTTGCTGCTCACACCTCAACCCAAAGATGAGACCACTGGCTGCATCCGCCGACCCAAAGCGACACAGGCCCGACCAGGCCCCGGGACGTAAACAAGATAACGAGCAACAGGACCCTGTTCGACCGCCAAAATCCTCGCTCCCGAATGTCAGCCCAAGATATATTCCCAAAGAAGGCGGCGAGAGCCCCGAACTTGCAAATGTTATGGGCACGGTGGATGGACACCAGGCTGGCTAGCCTTAATAATCCTGCGGACAACCTGGGAGACCCGTACCCGCGAACAGGGAAGGAGGGAAACCGGATCAACCCAAAGCACGTCCATGGACACAGAAGCCGTGTTAAGCTATATGCCACATAAATTTTTGTGGCATATTGGTTTTTATGCCATAAAATAATTTTATGCCCCCGCCGCGCAAATAACGGCGGAAAGCCGCAACCGGACACAAAACATGATGCACCCCCGGCCAAACCAACCAAGCATTAACAATCCAGGGACCTCGCCGAAAAGCAGCAGTCTCATTCTTCGCCAGAAAAGAAGAAGGCTGCAGACGAACAAACCAATCGCCCCGACCGAAGGAGCAGAAACCCCTGCGCCGGAGCAGAGCATGAAGCTCACCAACCCGACCCCCAGAGGCCAATGCCAACAGGAAAAGAGCCTTCGAAAAACAATCCGGAACTGAAGGGGCCACAACAAACTGAGGAGAAGAAAGAAAAGAGAGCACTCTGTCCAAAGACCAGGATGGCTCGGGCGGCGCATGAGTAGGCTGGAGGTGAAACAATGCCCGAGGCAACTAGCAAAACGGTGCAGACGTAACATCAATACCGAAAGCAAGCTGCAACGGCTCCGCCAGCACCGCACGATACGAGGTGACAGTGTTAGGCATAAGGTGATGGTCCTGAAACAACCAAGAGAGAAAGGACACCACCCAAACAAAGGGAGGACAATGACGAAGACGTAAGAAGAACCGGAAGGACCAGCAGGAAACCTCATACTGCCGCTGAGAAGAAGCATGCAGGTGGGACAATAACAAGGAAGCCACCTGATCACCATAGAGATGATGAGTAAAAAAACTCGTCAAAAAAACATGCGCGAAGACTCGAGGAGCAGATCAAACCATCCACATGACGTACCAGTCCGATCTGCTGGAAGAGGCAAAGCCGCGGGAAAACCTCCGGGTTCGGACACTGAGCAAGCAGTGCCTGAAACCCCGGCTGGGTTGGCCATCACGGGGCCAAGAGGACAACTCTCCTCTGGTAAGTTTCCAAGCGAGTCAGGACCTGGAGCAACAGCTGAACCGGGGAAAAGAGGTACAGGATGCCCCACCTCGACCAGTCCTGCCGAAAGGCATTGACCCCGATGGCCTCGCAATCTGGGAAGGGCGCCGCGACCACGCCATTGCGAAGAGGTCCACCTCGGGACAACCGAACATCTGGCAAAACCAACTGAAGGAATCGACATCGACCATCCATTTCGTGGAGAGGGGAACAAAACGGGACAGGCCTTCGGCCAAGACGTTGAACACTCCCGCACGTGAACTGCCAAGAGAGCCAAACCCCGAGAATTCAGCAGACGAGTCACCCGAAGCGGCCAGCGCCAAAGAGCCAAGGTCCACATTGAACCCTCCCCTGGTTCAGACAATGAACAACCGGGAACCGTCCGAATGGAGCCGGATCGTCGAACCACGGGCGACCCAAATCCTCCAAAGAGCGAACCACACTGCCGCAAACTCCCGCACCGTGCTGTGGGCCCGACGGAAGGACAGACCCCCACCGCCCCTGGCCGGCCTGGTGAGCACTGGTCACAAAGCCCCAGCCAAGAGACGATGCGTCCGTGAACACATCGAGCGGGGCCTCATGTAGGCACCAAGGCACTGAATCCCGAAAAACCCAAAGAAGGAAGCCGGCAACGCAGCAGCAGACGCAAAGCCCCCGGGGTCCGAACCCAGTGATCACGAGAGGGGCAGAAGAGATGTCCTCGAAGGAACCAGAACAGCCGATGAAGCCAAACTTGATCCGGCGGGTAGACCAACATCGCAAAGTTCATGCTCCCGCACAGACCCTCGAGCAACAGCTTAAATAAGTGCATAGGTGACATACTAAACATAATAGATACCCTTAAAAAGCTTCATAGAAAACACCGACCTTACCTAACCTTGTTAGTATCTTAAGATAAGCATCTTATATCTTCGTAATTACAATTGTTACTTAACCTATTATAGGTATAGGTTAAGTAACAATTGTAATTACGAAGCAATAAGATGCTTATCTTAAGATACTAACAAGATTAGGTAAGGTCGGTGTTTTCTATGAAGCTTTTTAAGGGTATCTATGATGTTTAGTATATCACCTATGCACGTAGTTAATAAGTCAATATTGACTATACGAATTTGCAAGAACGGGTTGAAGACCCAGCCATGTCCGAACCTGGGAGGGAACCAGAGGGGACTTCATCCAGTTCTCCAAGAACCCGAACCCGGCGAGCTGGGAAAGCACCAAATGCGTGGCAAGCAGACAACCGGACCAGCTGAGAGCCCAAACCAGCCAGTCGTCGAGGTAGGCCAATGCCTGAACACCTAAGAGATGCAGGCGGGCCACCATGACCCGCGTAAGGCGTGTGAACACGCGAGGCGTCGGGTTCAACCCGAACAGGAGATAATGAAAGCGGTAATCCTGACGCCCCACAACAAAACCGAGCCAGTCCCTGAACCCTGGATGAATCGGGATGTGCTAATAAGCGTCCCGGAGGTCCAGGGACAACACCCAAGAGCCTGGCTCCAACAGGAGACGAACCTGGGACAGCGTGGTCATCCGAAAGGAGGGGGCAATAAACCCAGGGGTTCAGACGAAACAAGTCCAGAATGAACCGCAGATCCGCACAGTCCCGTTTCGGTACTGGGAACAGACGGGAAACCCATCTGAGGGACGCCATCGTTTTGACCACGCCCAAGCGAACCCACTCCAAGATGACCTGACAGAGCGTAGGAGGAGAAGAGGAGGCCTGCCCCGAACCCCCGGAGGGAGGAGGGGCCACCCAACACCACTGCAAGCCAATAGAAACGTCCCGAAACGTCCACAAATCGTGGGACCAGGCGTGAGCGAACAGCACAAGCCTCCCCCCCCCCACCATCACCCCATCAATGGGGCGAACTGCGAAAGGGCCGACACCCCTTACGAGACCCAAAACCTCACACAGAGCGAACACCGTGTCGACTAGACGAAGGTGGGTCCGGAGGAGGAGCCGAACCCGACTCCAGTGGCCTACCATGACGAGAGGAACACTGAGCCTTGGCATGACCCTTCTGGGAAGGCCCACTACGGGACCCCCGGAGAACAAGCAAGTCCGACAGGATGGCAAGAACCCGAAGCAGCCTGAATATACTGCGCAACGGCTGAAGCCTCAAACAGGAGAAGACAAAAAAGGCGAAGACATCCTAAGAGCCTAGGCCCAAGCAGATTCCACAGAGGAGGCAAACACCATCTGCTGACATGCGAGCCGGGAAGCATAAAACAGAGCATCAACCTCAAGAACTGGAGTGTGGATAGTTGGCGCGGGAGGTCTGGGGCTCCCCCTTCTCTCTCCCGGGGAGGGGGTAGCTGTGCAGACAGCGGCGTGGCGACGGGTGGCGTCATACTAGTTTTGTTTTAGGAGTTCTATCCACTCTTGGCTTTTGGTTGTAATTTTCACCAGAATAGGGGCTTGTTTTGGGACGCTTACTTTTCTGGGTGCCTAACCCGGTCGATGGCAGACATAGAATGCTTCCAACCACCCGGAGGTTTCTATAGGGCATTGCTTCCCCTTGCCTCTCTAGAGGGGGGGGGGGCCAGGTTCTGGCTCGTGGTTTCCGGTAGGTCCATAAGAACTCCATTCACATGACTGATGCCAAAGTCTGACATTAGCATATCAGCCTAGTAAGCTCTGGTGAGCCATAGGGGCTCCCCCCAGAAAAATATTTTTGGAACATTGATGAAAGTAACATATATTAACATTTGACAATGAATTTATTTGATATGTAACAAAATAGAGTATAATAACATAGTTATTCATTATTATTTGTGTTATGTATTACTCAGCAATGCTATTAATGCATCAGCTGCATATCCACTTTGTGGACACTTCTTATTACTATTCTTCTTTGAGTGTCAGACAGGTGCTTGCATCTCTTTATTACAATATATATTGTAACCCTCGGTTCCAGTTAATGGGAGCTATTCTCCGTATGTATCGACAAAACGTTCTTATTTCTACAAAAATTTGTCTAAAATCAATTTCTGAAAATATTTTGATGAAAGTTTCACGATGCTGTAGCCAATAAGTTGGAGATTTGTTTAACTTTTTAAGTTATTTTTTCATAATTCAAATATTTTTCGCTTCCGGGCACCCCCAATATGCTCGGTTTAAGGGTCAAATGTTTGGTATAATTATGATTCATACTGCAGCATCCATATATTTAATAATTTTATTTCAGAACACATTTGATCAACGCTCTCTTGCACCAGGCTCCAGCAATGCAGTCAGACTATCTCGTTTCTTTGATAAAGTCATTGAAAGGCAGCAAACGACGACCTCAAGGACCGATGGAGCATTTTCATATCTTGAAAGAGAGAACCCTATGTACAGAAGAAATAAAAGTACATCTACTTTTATTGTTACTAGCTAAATGATCTGGGTATTTTGTTTCAAGATTTTCCTGAAGTAATAGTTTTAACATTTTGTATTCAGTCTAGCAATACATGTACTGTTTATAGTGACTGATACCATACAGAGAATAGTGTGTGTATATTGTAACTGATACCATACAGAGAATAGTGTGTGTGTATATAGTGACTGATACCATACATAGTGGTGTGAGTATAGTCACTGATACCATACAGAGTAGTGTGTGTGTATAGTAACTGATACCAAACAGAGAGTACAGTATGTGTACATGATGACTGATCAATACATATACAGAGAATACAGTATGTGTACATGATGACTGATCAATACCATACAGAGAATACAGTATGTGTACATGAGGACTGATCAATGCACATACAGAGAATACAGTATGTGTACATGAGGACTGATCAATACCATACAGAGTACAGTATGTGTACATGAGGACTGATCAATACACATACAGAGAATACAGTATGTGTACATGAGGACTGATCAATACACATGCAGAGTACTGTATGTGTATATAGTGACATGACAGGATAGATGTACTAAAGTGTGTGGAAGGGAAAATCAAAGTAGATAAAGGGTTATTAGGAAGTGACCATGTTAGAGTGCAGGATATTGTGCTGAGAAGAGCCTATATGTAGCATTATCCAGTAAGTTGTGATTACCTTAACTTATGGAGGCAAGAGCTCACCCATATAATTGTTTTATTCAGTGGTGAGAAATCTGAATAATCTGGCTATCTTACAAGAAAGGAAAGTTTTCTAATTTATTAATAAATAAGGATGAACCAGAAACGTTGTGTGATTTAACCTTGCGATACGGGCCTGACAGCTGATTAGACAGCACTCGGGGTTCATAGTCCTAAGGGTCCGGGTTTGATCCCCGGCGGAGGCGGAAATAAATGGGCAGGGTTTCTTTCACTCTGATTCACTTGTTGACCTAGCTGTAAATAAATACCTGGGAGTTAGACAGCTGCTACGGGCTGCTTCCTGGGGATGTGAGTGTGTGTGTGTATGTAATTACCTAAGTGTAGTTACAGGATGAGAGCTACGCTCGTGGTGTCCCGTCTTCCCAGCACTCTTTGTCATATAACGCTTTGAAACTACTGACAGTTTTGGCCTCCACCACTTTCTCACTTAACTTGTTCCAACTGTCTACCACTCTGTTTGCGAAAGTGAATTTTCTTACATTTCTTCAGCATCTTTGTTTAGTTAGTTTAAATCGATGACCTCTTGTTCTTGAAGTTCCAGGTCTCGGGAAATCTTCCCTATCGATTTTATCAATTCCTGTTACTATTTTGTACGTAGTGCTCATATCACCTCTTTTTCTTCTGTCTTCTAGTTTTGGCATATTTAATGCCTCTAACCTCTCCTCGTAGCTCTTGCCCTTCAGTTCTGGGAGCCATTTAGTAGCTTGTCTTTGCACCTTTTCCAGTTTGTTGATGTGCTTCTTACAACCCACTCTCGCACAAGACAGCACATATATGACTTAATGCATAAAGTCAATATGTTGAATATGAATTAGTACATATGTGGTATACTCCCAGTTACATTTTTTCCAAGGCACAAACTCTTCCTCGCGTACCAATTTACGTCTCACAGTAGTCGTCCATCGACGTAGACAACAGAATAGTCTTGATTGGTTCACTTATAATGAAAATTATAGTTTTCAGGTCCCACATGGGTTGTAAAATTTACCTGCTATTGTCCATGCTCTTAGAATATTACAGATCAGCTACATCCTATTGAAGCTTCATAGTTTTGTTTTGAGAAATATTAGTTGTTCTTAGTAAATTATAATAAGGACTATAAATTAATACATAGAATAATAGTGCTTCACCAATCAACTTTATATACACTTGTTTGTGCTTTAAAAATCTTTAAAGAATGTATTACACATACAGACACATATCTCTCAGGCAGCTATCCAAACTATCTTCTTCTTTCACCAGTCAGCCCGACAGATGTTATGTCCATCATACACTCACTAAAAACCAAAGCTGGGAACATCAGTGATATCCCATCCATTGTATACAAGAGCGCCTCCCAAGCCCTTGCACCACCTATAGCTCTGCTGTTCAACAAATCCCTTGAGTGTCATACCTTCCTTAATATTCTTAAAAAAGCAAGAGTAACGCCAGTTCATAAAGGAGGTAATCCGGCAGACATAAACAATTATAGACCAATATTAAACCTACCCATCCTATCAGAAATATTTGAAAAAATTATCTACAAACAGCTCTACTCCTATCTCGTAAAATTCGACATTCTTAGTCCCTATCAGTTTGGCTTCCGCTCCCAAAATAGTACCAACGATGCAATTATTAGTCTCCTTGATATAATTTACTCAGCCCTTGACAAAAATGAGTTTCCGATTGGACTCTTCATTGACATGAGAAAGGCCTTTGACACTGTTAATCACAATTACCTCTTACGTAAACTCCATCATTATGGAATCCGAGGCCCATGCACTGGATTATATCCAATCCTATCTTAGTGATACACACCAATGTGTAACCATCAATAATATAACCTCTCCCACTCTACCAATAACCGTTGGAGTGCCACAGGGCATCATCTTGGGACCTCTCCTATTTCTTATATACATCAATGATCTGCCTAATGTCTCTAACGTTGGAACCTAGGAGGAGGAACCATAGGAGGAACCTATGCCACGATTTCTAATTAAAGAATTGCTTTTAAATACATATATGGCGATATACTAAAGAAATTGTTCACGACTTTTGTTAGGCCAAAGCTAGAATATGCAACGGTTGTGTGGTGCCCATATCTTAAGAAGCACATCAACAAACTCGAAAAGGTGCAAAGACATGCTACTACGTGGCTCCCAGAACTAAAGGGCAAGAGTTACGAGGAGAGGTTAGAGGCATTAAATATGCCAAAACTAGAAGACAGAAGAAAAAGAGGTGATATGATCACTACATACAAAATAGTAACAGGAATTGATAAAATCGATAGGGAAGATTTCCTGAGACCTGGAACTTTAAGAGCCAGAGGTCATAGATTTAAACTAGCTAAACACAGATGCCGAAGAAATATAAGACAATTCACTTTCGCAAACAGAGTGGTAGACGGTTGGAACAAGTTAGGTGAGAAGGTGGTGGAGGCCAAGACCGTCAGTAGTTTCAAAGCGTTATATGACAAAGAGTGCTGGGAAGACGGGACACCACGAGCGTATCTCTCATCCTGTAACTACACTTAGGTAATTACTGACACCCTGGCATGGCACCATTGGCACTATGGGATGGCACCATTGGCACCCTGGGATGGCACCACCTTCACCCTGGGATGACACCACTGGCACTATGGGATGGCACCACTGGCACCCCTAGGATGGCACCACTGGCACCCTGGGATGACACCACTGGCACTCTGCTGGGCAGTGTTCATTGTCCCTCGTCTTTTCTTCATAGGTAGTCCATACGGGGCATTTGAATGGTTTTGGAAAAGTTGTTCAAAGTTTCAGTACTGCAGCCTAAATAGAAAGGGAATGGAACTATGAGGATAAAGCGTGAAGCCATTACGACAATATAGCACTTGGAAGGGGGTCTTGATAAGGATTTGGGATGGGAATGGTTGAAGGAATGGTAAGGAAGATATATTTTTTTTTTCAACAAAAATTACACATTTTCAAGTGACTTCACAACCTTCACCTTTTCAGATATAATCATTCTATGACACTTTCCTGACACATTAGCATATAATAAAGGTTCTGAAGTTTGGGAGTTTCCAAAACATCTTTAGTTTTCCTAATACAAATAGTCAAAGTTCCCCCCCAAAAATTATGCATATATGTCATGTTTATTGCTATTATAAATCAATAAATGAACTTAGGAAAAAACGCTTCCTTCGGAGTTTAGAGACATAAACTTTACATATAAGGTGTAAGTTTCATGTAAATTGAATTAAGAATGAAAGAGTGACAAGAACTTTTGTTACTTGAAAATAATGAAAATAAATAGGAAAATAATAAAGTCTAAGGTGCTGCCATCTGTGGTTGAGGTTGACATCAACCAGTTTCCTCCAAAACTGGCACCCTTACAGATAGGCTTATGTGCAGTCAGGTGTGTAAGTTTCATGCAAATCATCCGATAAAAAAAAATGAAAAAAAAAATGATTTTTTTTTAACTTTATTATTTTTCTAATAATACTAATTATAATATTCTTCTAATATATGCTATTGTGATAGCTGAGAGTCATAGGGATGACTTCAGTTGACACTTGTGTTTCATAATCGTTTTTGAACATTTTTGAATAATTCTGACACCTACTTCAATATTTTTTTCTCCCTTCCTATTTATGCTTCGATGATAAGACTTGGACAAATTGAAACTGTTTTAATATAAATCTCGTCAAAAAAGTTTGATTGAAATCGAACCAGTTTTCATTTATTGCATATTTGGATCGAAAACCATTCAAAAGCCCTCTTAGGCACACTAACCGATTGGGCTCTCTCATTTCCCTTTACTTAACTTTTTCTGTTCTGCAGTCTTGTGTCGCATAGGTAAATGCACTTACCATTGCTGTCGCTCATTCCCGATCCGGATTTACTCGTTGAGGTAAATTTGAGGTCAAAAACTTTGATATTCGTTACATGTTTCATCATTTAGCTGGTGGAAGTAGTCCTACTATAACTCTATTATTTCCTGCGCGCGGGCGGCGACGTCGGCGAAGAAAGCTTCCAAAGCCTTTTCCTCTAAAGCTTTTTCCTCATCCAAACGTGCCGTTTCCTCTAAAGCTTTTTCCTCATCCAAACGTGCCTTTTCCTCGTCCAAACGTGCCATTTCCTCTAAAGCTTTTTCCTCATCCAAACGTGCCTTTTCCTCGTCCAAACGTGCCTTTTCCTCATCCAAACGTGCCTTTTCCTCGTCCAAACGTGCCTTTTCCTCATCCAAACGTGCCATTTCCTCTAAAGCTTTTTCCTCATCCAAACGTGCCTTTTCCTCGTCCAAACGTGCCTTTTCCTCATCCAAACGTGCCTGTTCCTCTATCGCCTTTTCCTCTAAAGACTTTGGTGTCTTATTTTTGTGTTTCTTTTTTATGGAGACCTTTTGGTCTGATTTGTGTTTCATATCGTCGGGCTTAAGACCATAATGAGGCCAAGCAAAGTAAATTTTCAGCAGGGAAAGAGGGAGAGAAACTGTAGTAGCGAGGATGGCTGCCTTCATCAGGCTAGCCATAACCAGCCGCCAGACGGGGATCACATCAGGGAAGGAGCAGGATGGAGGAGACGAGACCAGACGGCCGATCAGGGGAAGCTTCCTTGCTTTACTTCCCCAACCATTGGTCTGCGCGAACTGGGTCTCGGATTCCGCCCGGGCCGCTCTAATTAGAGCATTTTGCCTGGTATGATAAACAGTAACACTGTAAGTGAGCACACTCAAGCTCACCGTCACAACTAAACCCAGCCAAATGATTTTGGGTTTTGCCATTTTGAAAAATTTAAAGAAACAGTAACAGTAGGTATTAAGTAATATTATAACCCACTTGTGGATTTATAGTTAGGTTAGAACTGAGAATTTTATAGGTCAAGGGGAGATCATGTCTCCCCTTACTCTTCTGTTTTCCAGGGACGTGAGATTCAGCTCCTTTAGCCTTTCCTCATAGCTCATTCCTCTCAGTTCCTGGACGAGCCTGGTGGCTTACCACTGAATCTTCTCTAATTTTGTCCGTGTTTAACTAAGTATGGACTCCTGGCTGGAGATGCATATTACATGATTGGTCTGACATAAGTGGTATACAGGGTCCAGAACTATTCCTTACACAAGT